CCACGAGCAGTAACTCCTTTTTGCGCTATAGCTCTTGTGCAAAAAGGCACTTGTGAATGCTCCGCAGGGGTTTCTTGCGCAAAAAGAGCCTATCAGAAAAAGCACAGGTGTTCTGATGGCCATTCTGTAAACGGCAATCAGAGCTGTCTTACACAAGAGCATCCATGCAGTGTAGACGCGCTTTTGCACAAGAAGATTTTGTGGAAGATCTCTTCTGCAAAAAGCTTCTTGCGCAAAAAACCTGCAGTGTAGACAAAGCTGTAGTGTTTCCTGCCCATATCTCTTTTTTCCAAACTTTATTCTGAGAAGCTAGTTGATATGTTAAGCTCCCTAACATGATGCAGCAAAGATGGTGGGATGCAGATAAACCCATATTGACAGAATTTGATGGCTAAGCATAGCAATGGAAATCCATCAATAATTCTTGCCAACTATTTCTTCAAACACTTCAACCTTTTATTTTATTCCCAGAATGTTGATATCAATGTAATTACCAACAAGCTGAACTAGAAGCATCTTTTGGCATCTATATAAGAAGAAAACCTCAGTGTTATGGCTTTAAAGTGTTTTTACTTTTTAGTGATCTTTAAAAATCCATTAGATACAATTTAGCCTCAGTAGTACTTAAATTATACTGAAAGATAAACTTGCTTATATCTGGAATGTGAAATGCATATTTTAAGATCTCACAAGCCTTTCTACAGTCTCCTTATTTTTGAAAAATGTTAGTTGCAGGAAGCCTTTTTATATGTCAGCACACTGGAATATAGATTTTTTTCCCCATAAGCAACCAGAACCTTAAACTGAAAACTGTTAGTGTTGTGTGGAGAAATGCTGTAATGTTTGTTTCTGAAGTGCAAAAGGTCCTATATTCCTCTCCTTTTAATAGGGCTGAAAGTTGAAAAAAGTTGGTAAATTTGCCTGATTTTATTTTGACACTTTTAACCAGTGATGAGGCCATTGACTATTTGCTTTTCAATAGTGAAATGTCATCCTTTTGGTTGGGATTTGGGGGAAACAAACATTGTCTCAAAAACAAGCCAAAACCAGAGCTATTAAATCTTTTGGAACAGGAAATCCCAGTGTGTGTGACAGTTATCTTTAGTAAGTTACTATCTATTCTGTTTTTATATCTATAGGTATGCCATTTCCTAGACAAGTAAGGGAAGCGTCTTTAGCCTGTGGAATTTGCAATGTGGGGTTGCAATCTAGCAAAGAGGTCTATACAGGGACAATGGAGGAAACTTGGGAGCCAGAAGTAGAGACAAAGAGAGGAAGGCTAGGAAAAGGAATAATCCTAGAATCTCCTGTTTGCTATCTTTCTCTGGCCAACAACTCTGGAATTGGCCTAGGGAAAAGAAAGCACTGATGGGACTCTGCTCCTTCTACTACTGTTGGACCAGAAGGAGCCAAGAAAGAAGAACTTTCCTCCCAGCAAGTGGCAGAGGATGTGGGTGGATGGAAGAGGAAGCTTCTCTTCCACACCAACACCATGACTGACTAAGCCAGAAGTAGCGTGGGAAGGGGGAGCCTTGCACAGCTTTCCCCATCCATCTCATTGGCAGCGCTCACTGGCAGCGCCTCAGAAAGGTTGGGAGTCTTGCTGTAGATGCTGCGTCAGGTGCAGGCAGCTGTGTGGCTCGGGGGAGCTTTTATTAAAGTTGCTATTTTCTCTCTCACACACGTACACTTTTTTCTTTCCTGCAAAGACAAGAGAAAATGCACACACAGGACCGAGAATTGGCTATTCTTAACTCACCTTTGTACTGCTCCAGCTGTGCAAAGGGGAATTAAACCTCAGTGTTTAATGCAGCAGCTGTAGATTCCCCATGAGATTGCTCTAACTTGTATCAGGGCTAGTTTGGTGTCCAGTAGCTCCAAAGATCAGAAGGATAGAAAAGGTGTCATAAAGGCACCTAACTGCTCCTCCTCTTCAGTTGTGCCATTTCTCTGGCACGTGTGATCATGCACTCCATAACCTGTATTTGTTATATTTTTACAATATTAAAAAGTGTCTGAAGCATCATAGCAAACTTTGAAATTCGTACTACTCCTTTGAATTATTCTCTGGTCAGAAGGGAAGTGATTTTCTTCCCTAAATTTTACATAGAATTCCATAATGGATGGGCCACTTGTCCAGCCAGTCAGATATTCTGTCTCTGATAACATCTAAAGTGGATCCTTTGCAGAGTAGTATAAAATGTATAATAGTCTTGCCATTATTCAGTACCACATTAAGGAGGGAGTTTTGTTCCTGACCCCAGCTGGCAATCAGCTTGTAGGATGAAGTACTGATAATTCTTTTCATAGCTAGTATAACTGCAGATGTTACTGTTCTCTCGTGTCTCATCTATTTTTGGATTTTACTCATTAATTTTTACCCCATGGCATTAAATTCTAGAAATTAATCTTATGTTTCTTTTTATAACTTCATTACTCTTTACTTCAAATGCCGTGTTCTTTTGTGAAACAGAGTAAAAACAAGTTCGTTGTTGACTTCTGTCATTCTTTGTTTAAACCTCTTGCATATGTCCTGCTCCTCTTCTGGTTTGAGAATCAAATAAGTTCTGTTCTTCCTTCTAAGGAAGACGACCCCCCCCCATCCTCCAATTTTCTTCCCTCCAACTGTCCTAGGGGGAGACTGTAAAAAGTACAGTAGAGAGTTGGTCTAACTTCACTTTGTAAATTTCTCCTTGTCTGTTTTTCTGTAAGCCTTTTCCACTTTGCCATGTCTTCTTTTAAATTAAAAGGTAATAGATAAAAGACAGAATGAAAAATAAGATGACTTAATCAGCATTATTTAGAAATATTAAATGCCCTGGCTACCTTCCAGCAGTTTTTAGATTCTAAACGAATGAGCATCTTCAACAGTGCCACTTATATTTGATTCTATCTATCCATTAATAATGCCCGTACGCAGCCCACAATGAGTTCAGCAGTTCCCCTTGCTCTCTGGGGTACTAGAGAGTTCAGTAACATGCTTCATATTTCTTAATAAGTATAACAAGAACCTTAATGCTGTCATCTTCTTAGAACAGTAAGGGTGCATCTACACTGCATCTATAGGTCAAAATAAGATACACAGTTTGAGCTATGCAAATTGCATATCTTATTTCAATCGAATTTAGAAATAGCTCATTTTGATTTTTGGCACTGTCTACACAGATGGAATTACAGAGGGTTTCAAAATCTATTTTGAAATAACAGGATGGTTTTTAAGATGTAGAATAGCTATTTTGGAATACCTCCGATATTCCAAAATAGGCCATATTCTAGACATGCCCTAATAGTTTTCATTCATATATTTTCAGTATCAAAATGCTAATTTATAAGCATAATTATAAAAATGCTTCAGAGCAAAACCAGAGCATAAGAAATGAAAATATAGAGAAAAGTAAATGGATTTTTTCTTTTTCTTCCCTCGTGGAGAAAAAATTTCCACAATTCTTACATTGTAGGTAGTTAGAGTTATAGGCTAGCTTTATGATATGCTGTGCAATTAGTTGCATGTATATTATCTTTACAGACTCTTTTTAAAAATGGAGATACCAAATAAGTCACTGAATTGAAGATGAGAAATCAGGAACTTGTTGCAATCTATTAGTCAGGATGGGTAGGAATGGTGTCCCTAGGTGGTATGGCTGATTATCCTGTAAGCAGGGGCAGATGACTGTTTTGCAGGGCCCCGGGCAGCATAACTCCGCGGGGCCCCCCCTTGCCACGGCGCATGTGCTGTGACGCCATGCGCATGCGCGGTGGCACGACAGCGCATGCGCGGGGCTTTTTTAAGCGAGGAGCCCGGGGCGGCCGCCCCGTTTGCCCTGCCCTATATCCGCCCCTGCCTGTAAGATAAATGCATACAGGTCTTATTCACTACAGTGGGAGTTATGTGCTTACACGTTACAAATTATCAGGTCCCTTTAATCTTGGAATCTTGTGATTTTTATTCCTGAACACTCATCTTTAACACTGTACTGATATTATGGTGATTTTTGCATTTTATGTATTATTTAGTGGTGGGGGAGCAAATACTCTTGTCTCCCAGTTATACGTATTCTATTTATGTATCACTGAGTTCATTTTTAGGACATGGAGCTCAAAAATTAATTACATATCTCTTAGTAGCAGTCATCAATCAGTTACTTCTCATTCAGAAAATGGAGGCATTGGAAGAAAGTTATTTAGTGGTCAGTATGCATCATTAATCTTTCTAAGAAGAGGATTCTGTTCTGTAGGCGATTTACAGATTATCTGTACCTCATTGCCTGCAGCTTTTGGGAAAATTGTAAATAAAGCCAGCTGCATGTTACGTTACTACTCATGGTTGGTTAGTTGAACAAATGGCATCGTAAATGCTTTGGTTCTGTTGGTTTTATTGTATAATGGAAAATTCCTTCTTCCAATTTTTGTTTTTAGTTTACTATCTTTCAAAATATGCTTTTAGTTTCTCAACATAGAGTGTGCATTTTACAATCCATATTAATGATAGAAATGTACAAGTAATACAAGGAGGAACTGTGTTGTCATATTAACATTGGATAAAACTCACCCTACTGCTGAAGACTTTCAATGACACCATTTAAGCCCTGTATTGAAGGCTTAAAATAATGCAAAGGGCCCATTAAGACCCCTGGGCCAGAGTGAATTTTACCCTTTTCATATAGCTAAGAGACTAGTGAGATTGATTTCAAGCCAATTGATTTTTCATAAGTAGTTTGAGACTGCTAATTCCATCTATTTCCTGTTGATTTGGTCATTTCACTACTCAGTTTCATGTGTCCCTGGAATCTTTTTAATATAAAAGAATCTGCCAAAGAAACTTGTATTAGATATGTAGTTTATGGTCTAAGGAGCTGTCTGAACATAAAACATATTGCAGTATACAAATTGGATTGCTATAGGTCAAACAAATTTGTCTTATAAAATTATTTTGTGTAAGATAATCATCATGTAATCCATTTCATAATTCATGATCAATTTTTTTTTCTTTTTTTTATCAGTTGCAGCTAAACAAGCAAGTGGGTCATGGCACGCTTAACGAAAAGACGACAGGCAGATACAAAAGCTATCCAGCATCTTTGGGCAGCTATTGAAATAATCCGGAACCAGAAACAAATTGCTAATATTGACCGTATTACAAAGTAAGTTACATTTTATAATAAAAGATAATGATAATGTGCAAAAGAGAGAATGTTTACCTTGAAAAAAACAGAACAGTTAACGTTGTTAAAGCTCGTGAAACAATTACATTAAATAGTGTTTTGTTAATTTTTAAATTAACAAAAAGTATTGAAAATTAACAGTCTTTAAGTCTCTATTATTGATGTATTAAATTGGATAAAGGACCTTTTGAGCATTTGTTCACTTCATCATAAATCCATAGACAAACTAGAAGCAGTGCTAGCATTTCACTGGTAATTTTCATCTTATTCAGTAGCCTGTGATCAGAGGAGAAATAATAGCTGTAGAAAGTGAAGCAGAAAATGAGAATAAACATTATTGTAAATAGTCTTATAAAAGTTGATTTATTTAGGAACTCGGGAGGCTAACCTTTTTATTTAGTGTGGGATTGTATTACCTAGAGGAATCAAATTATGTGGGTCACAACTGCACAATATATATATATATATATATATACACTACCTGTCTGACCTTGAGGATGTCACATGGATGGCAGCTGCTTGCTGACTGGCCCTGGTTGAGAACCACTACTAGAATGTTGTTGGCTGCCAATTTTATTATGGTTTATTTTGTGGTAGTACCCAGAACATATTAGATCTCTGCCTTGTAGAGTTTACATTGTGGGGGAATAAAAGCAAAACCAAAACCACATGACATTAATGCAGATCTTTTGAATATGCTGGGCCAATCAGTTCAATTAAAGATTGGGGCTTTATGTGCCCTAGTTTTGCTTTATTACCAGAATTTTCAGATGTGCATATGCGGAGTATTTGCTGAAAAGACATATGAATAACTTTTTAAAGGTGCATAACTTTAATAAACTCTTAATCTAAAATGTAAATATGTTATTACATCTGGAATTTTAAGGGTCCACCTGAGTGTGACTTCATTGAAATTAGTGACTAACAAAGGGAAGAGAATTAAATAATACAGATATGATAAATGTCTGAAAATAAACTACAGATTGGTGAACTGTTTAATTTACATGGTTTGAAAGTTCTGTGTTAGGGGTGGGAAAGCATCTTGATGCATATAAAGTGTAGTGTAACAAGTCAGTCAACATAATAAACAAATAAAATGAAAGCAAACAGATGAAATCCTGTGCCTAGTTCCTATAAGTTTTAACAGAGAATTCCATCATTAAAGTAAGAACATCTACTGGGATATGAAAATCCTACCAAAAGAGCCTAGTTAACCTGATAGAGAAGAACTTGTACAGCACATGTCAATCTGAGAGTCTCAGGATTTTATAAGCACTATTTAATGAAAAATCAAAATCACTATACACGTTTAAAAAGATGTCAAGTAACTTACACCAGGCCACATAGTAACTCAATGACAAGGTTAGGAATACAACCAAATACACTATAGATTTAGAAAATGCAAACTGGCTTTCATTCAGCACAAGATGGCTGTCAGAAATATAGAACGCTCAATCAGATAAGACATTTGAGGGTGCTTTCTAGAGACACGCTACTTTGAACTATTGAAATGGAGAAAGGATGATAGAAAATTGTGGCCAAAAAGAATGGGAACCTGTCAGGGGGCATTTGGTGTAGAAACCAGCAATAGAGATTCTGCTGTTAAACTGGAGGATGATTAGGTTAAAAAGAAGCACGCTACATTTGGTAATCCAGGTAGTGAGCACAAGAAAGCCACTGAAAGTGAATCATCAGAGAAGAAGCAGCAGCAAGCAATCTTAGTAACTTAATGCAGGGGTTCTCAAACTTTGTGATATCGTGACCCCCCTCTAAGTTGATCGTGACCCCTGGGGGGAGAGACCCATAGTTTGAGAAATGCAGGCTTAATGGAAAAGACCCTGGCCTCGGCTTTTTTGTAATCCAGAAAGAGTACATGATCCAGAAAGATTTGTCCTTGATTCTATCAAATGTATAGTTTTGAGAAGAGAATTCAAACTAGGACACACAGAGTTACATATCTTAAAGAGCCTTCCAGTGCAAAGCGGTAGTGAAGAAAAAAGAAAACTGATGCTTGAGATTAATTGGATGAATGACAAAGTATGTTCTATAGACATGAAACCTGAAACCTTATGAAATATTAGAATTCTGTCTCTGTGATGAGAACTGAATGGCTTAGGTGGAACAGCTTCCTGAGTTCAAGGCTTCAGTTAGGCAATTAAAATAATAGGGGGCTATTGCTTAATAAATGTATACTGGTGTCTGTGCAAAAATGCAAAACGTGGCTGGTAAGCAAAGTAAGTTACAAGTGATGAATGATACGACTTGGTACGCATCACGGGAGTTTGAGGGGAATGATTCTCACAAATAGGATGTTAACATGGTTGACTGTTAATTCTGTGGGATTTGTTAAAGCGGTGGCTTTGCACTTACAAATATTTACAAGACTAGGCAATACAATAATTCCAAGAATTACAGTGATGTGAAATATTCTTGGATAAGGACACAGAAAATACAGGATAAGTTTATGTGAATGTCAGTTACTCTCACACAGTGCACTCAGTCATTCATTGGTTGAGAAATACGGATCTTTAAAAATTCCTAAGTTATAAAGAGGACATACTCATTATAAGGGGTGGGGACAACTCACCTCAAGTGCCTCCTAGCAGTTCAATATGATTCTGCAATCTTTCCCCCACTCCTGGCACCACCTGAAGGTTGCCATCCTTGCGAGGCAGGTCTCCAGAAGTTCAAGCCACACCTTTCCAGAGGAGTATATATCTACTAGAATTATCTCCCATGTTAAGTAAATGCAACCACTCAAGCTCCTGTGGCCATGGAAGAGAAGTTGTTGCTGCTGCTGCTCCCTCCCTTTCCCTGCCCCACCCAAGAACTGACCTGGTCAGACCCTGCAGCTCCTTGTATCTGAGATTTTTGAGCTCTGATTGACTGCTTCCATGAGACCCTGTAGGCAAGCCTGGAGGACCATACCTCTTCTGTTTCTTCCTGCAGTGGGGTACTGTTGACTGCAGAGCTTCCATCAAGGGCTTAGGAAGGGCCAAGTACCCCCCATCACATTCATGGTCTGGTCTGGCTTGGAGACACCATTGTGAATCTACTTCTTACCAACAAAGAGGGTAAGAAGTATGTTTGAGCATAAGAAAAGGGAGCTTAGTGTTAATGATAAGCTACAATAATTCAAAGGTGGATTCATGTAACACAGCGATACAAACGGTACTGGGTACTGGATCGTGAGTAAATACATCTTGAGGAATTACGAAACCATTTCACATGGTACAATGGAAATCTGAAAATCCATGAATATAGCAAAAAATGGCATACTAATATATATTAGGAAACTCTATAGAGTTTTTATAGGCCCATTAATTAAAGGACTGAATCAAGTACAATTCTGTTGAACTGCTCTTTAACATTCAGGAAGAAAAATAAAGAAAAAGAAAATGTACAATATGAAAACTGTCATATATTGCTGTAAAATGGAAAAAAGATAACTTGGAAAATATGCATACACAAATCAGGGCCTTCAGGCAATTAGCTAATTAACTTACTGAATTTCTGGCATATTCTTTTTGAAAAGTCATTGCTAACTGGAGGACCTATCAGGAAACTAAAACCTAAATTCCTCTTCAAATGGGTGGAAAATTAAGGAGTAAAATATGTTAGTAATTAGTATGCAATATAAGTACTTAGATAACAGAAAAACATAGTGTGAACAGCATGCATCTGCAAAGGGAAATTATGAATTTAAAACCTTGGTGGCTTTTAAAAATATATAACTTAAAAAATAAGTGGACAAAGAGATGTCAATAGCCCTACTGTCTACATTTTAGAAAAGCATGTAGTGATTTAACAAGGAACTGTAGTTTATTTGTATATTTAATTTAAACTCATTAAATATAAACACTGTACCATCGATTGAAAACTAGCTAAAGTCTGTGAGCAAAGGTAATGATAAATAGCAATGTATCAAGTGTTGGGGAATTAGTAATATGGATTGTAAACACCATAGTAAAAAGCATGATAGAATGAATGTCTTACCCCATCTGTACATACAGTTCAGGGGCATCAGGGATTTGGTTAGACCAGTGTTTCTTAAACTTTTTAAGACCGAGGAACACCAAACAATTTTTTTATGAGGAACACCAAGGATTTTTTTTGTTGAGCAAAAAAAAAAGGAGGGGGCAGGAAAAAGTTAATGGCCCCCCCGTACTTCTCCCCCTCCCCCCCCCCCCAAAAAAAGAAGGGTCGGGAGAAAAGTTATTGAGCCAAACAAACAAACAAACAAACAAAAAAAGGTCGCCTCCCCTTTAAAGTCGGCCATTTTGAATGCTGTTGTTCTCCACCGCACACCTCCCACTGCCTTGTGGCACACTGGTGTGCCGCAGAACACAGTTTAAAAAACACTGGGTTAGACTGTTCTTCTTAAGGATCAGAAGGGTATCCATGTTAGTCTGTATCCGTAAAAACAACATGGAGACCTGTGGTACTTTAGAGACTAACACATTTATTTGGGCATAAGCCAGCAGTTCTCAAACTTTTGGGGTTCCGGAGCTCTTTACATGTGTAAAAATTTATGCAGAGCCCTAGCGGTCCATTGACTGTATGTGTTGTACATATCGATGTTTCCAGTATGTCAACCTCGTAGAGCCCCTGGAGAAGTCTCGTGGAGCACAGTTTGAGAAACACTGGCATAAGCTTTCATGGGTCAAAACCACTTTGTCAGATGCATGGAGTTTTCAATTTGTTACAGACTAACATGGCTACCCCTCTGAGACAGGGATTAATGATGCTCTGAACAATAGCTGAGAATGGCTTCTGTCACTATAGCCAAACTTGACTTAATTATCCACATTTGCAAGAGCAGCAAAAGTGATATTCGTGTTTGTCTTTTCTCAGTTTTTTTTTTCGTGACTTCAAATTTCCATTCATTTTGGATTTGGAGTAACACAAGAAGAGGGATGAGAGTGGGTTACAATGCACCTAACTTTCACCTTTGGAGACTGCAATTCAGATTCTAACTA